GAGTCACCTGGAGTGCCTTCTGCTGCAGGAGCATGTTGTCTCGGGGGCCCGTGCGGTTGCTGATCCTGGGCTTGAGCGGCCGGTAGACGCAGCACATTGTGAAGCAGATGATGTAGAGCAGGTAGATGGTGCCCAGCACACAGAAGTACGGCCGCCCATACCGCCTCCATTTGAGGCTGACCAGCTCCTTCACAGGTGTCTGGTCCAGGATCTGACGCGCCTGCAGGGATGGAGGCGAGGGCGGCTCAGAGCCCTGCCCGCTGGCCCCAGACCTCCGCCCAGTGCCCACACCTCCCGCTGGCCCCAACACCTGCTGTCCACACCTCCCGCTTCTTGGTGGTGACAATGAGCTCCAGCAGGGACAGCTCCTCCCCGCAGGAGTCGATCTCGGTGAGGTCGTAGAGGGTGGAGGTCAGCGGTCCGTACGTCCACTGGATGTGCTTCCGTCGCTGCACCAGGTGCTGGAACATCTGGGGGGTGGGGATGACAAGAAGGGCTGGTTGCCTATTTGGGGACAGTCACCAAGGATGGGTGGGGCTCCTCTGGGGACAAGGACCACCGGCCACCTTCCTGGGGCTGGTCACTGGGTGGGACAAGGACCATTGGAGTGGACAGCTTCAGCTCTATGGGGACAAGACCACCAGCCACCTTCCTGGGGCTGGTCACTGGGTGGGACAAGGACCGTTGGAGTGGACAGCTTCAGCTCTTCTGTGACCCCAGCCCCCTCTCTCATCCTGGTTCCAGAGCCCGAGAGCTGGTTCTCTGAGGGCGGTAGGGCACAGGGGATACCAGGAGGGATGGGGATAGTCAGACAACCGGAGAGCAATATGGTGGGGCAGAGAAAGGGTCCCTCCCACCTGGGCTGGGGGCAGGGGGCATGAGCCCAAGGACCTTGAGAGCCAGCATGGGGGCCAGGGCGCCAAGGAGCGGGGCTGGGGGTGCCCTTACCACTGTGTTGCCCTCCACCCCGGCCAGCTTGAAGGGGGTGAGGCCCTGGTGGTTGGGCACAAGGTCCAGGGACTGCAGGGGGTCGCCCCCACGCCCATCATGGGACAGCAGCAGGTTGTACATCTGGCAGGCGCCCACAATGCACAGCTGCTGGCTTTTGCGATGCGCAATAACTATGCAAAATGTGTGTGTTGCGGGGAGGGGGCAATAACCATGCCTACTGACAGG